TACACCAACTTTGGGATGTTCATAATTCTGTGTATCATTTCACTCTCTGTTCCTTCATTCTTATCCCTCCTCTTCTTCTTTGTGTTCCGTTTCTGCCTGTGCCATTATCTCAGGGGTGATTTCGGTGTCTTGCATGTTAAGCGTCGTCGATGGAAAAGTCGGGCATAATTCGCGATGACGGAAAATACGAGGTCTCGATGCGGCGTCGATCCTCCCGCTGGGGATTAATTATCGTTTAATTATCGTCTGGCGGGTGCATCAGCGCGGTAACGAAATTTCGCGCGGCGTAACGGGAAGCGGGGCTGGGGGGGGGGGGGGGAGAGAAAATGGTACTTGGACTTGCGTACCTTTTTTAATTATTTATGGTGTCAGAGATATAATAGAACAGAGAAATAATTTTTTTGAGAAAGGAAAATGGCACTTGGACTAATTGTTGATGCCATTTTTCTTCCGATGCAAAAATCGTTTTCGAATGAAAATACACGTGTTTTTCATACCTTTCTCAATCTTTTATCGTGACAAAGAAATAGTGAAAGAGAAAAATAATTTTTTGGGAAATTGAGGAGAGAGAAAATGACACTTGGACTTACGTGTCTTCTTTAATTGTTTATCATGGAAGAGATATATAATGGAAGAGAAAATTAACTGTTTTGAGAAATCGAGGAGAAAGGAAAATTACTTGGACTGCTTACTGGTGCAATTTTTCCTTCGATGCAATTTTTACTTGAGTTATCTCGTCGGGTCGGACGCGAGTAATATTCGAGGTTTTGTTGGTGGCTTTCCCGATTGGCACGGAAAATCGCTTTGATTGCAAAGTCGAATTGTTCAGGGGTCGAGGGGCTTGGGGATTATCTCTGTTTTGCTTGATTTTACAGATCACGTGTACACAGTTGTCTAGTTGTCAAAATTAGAACTTCATAATGAAAGGAAAATTAAGAGCGCAATTTAAAAGGCAGGTACATTCCCATTCATAAATAATCTCCATAACATCATGTCTTAGAATTTCATAATTTATTATAAAATTATATTTTTTCTTTCAAAAAAAAGAAAAAAAAAAGCAAACACCACGAGACGTCATTTCTTATTTTATACACTTCAAAATTATCGACTTAAATAAAAATCAACAACATAGAGATATTAAAGCTTGGTTTATAAAACTTTCATTATCTTTCGCCATTTTCTTTTCTTGCTTTTAATCATTTTCCAACGCTTTTCGCTCTTCTCGTGTTTGCACATTCCCATTCTCGCGTTCATCGTGACTTCTCGACTGGAAAGCTCCACGAGAAGATGAAATAAAGATTCGTTGCAAGAGCCACGACTTCAAGGTCCACGAAGCTCATGTACTCGAACGAGATCGATATGTTGGTAATTACTAATTACGAGTTACGACGCGTTATTAATTAATTACCACGAAACACGGCGCGTTAATGGCACGTGGTAAATGTTTCTTCGAAGCAGTTCACCTTTCGTCGAATACACGAGGACAGTTTCGATTCGCGATTTTTGCAAACCGGTTTGCAAAAATCGTTTCCCGTGAAATTGCTTCCTTATCGTCGCTTTGCATACAATTTCGCGTAAATTATTCTACGTTTTATCGTTTCATCCACGTCAATTACTTTCTAGGTTGGTACTAATTTTATTAAATTAACTGACTCAGCTGTTACGCTGCTTTTCTTTCGTTGGTAACACTTTACCGCACAAGTGGCGCGAAATTCAAATCTTGCATGAATTTTGGGATACTCTATAGGATTTATTCTAACAAATATCTTTGACGTTTAATTTCTTTTTATACGAATTTGGAAATGACACAAATTATTTGATAATAGGTAATGGTGATGCAAGAGAAAATGGAATATAAAAATATTTTTTAAAATATCCTGTTAGTCTATTCGTCTTGTGCGCGACGGACACTTTAATCTCCCTTCTGATACCGTAGATAATTAAAATCGACGGAACAAAAAAGTGTAATTAATTTCGGAAAACACAATTAACGTTCGAACTAACACTTACCCCCATTCGCTCAAATTACTCTTCCTCGGATATTTTAATTTTCTGCCAAGTCATCGGGAACGATAGATCGTTATAACAGCCACGATTAACACTGGAATCATCAACTTTTCAACTGCATCTAAATTTATTGAAATATCTGGATTATTATAGTTCAAAAAATATAGTAAAAATAGGCAGTGTATTTTGCAATGCAAAAGTTTCATCGACTTTATAATATAAAAGCTTCAAATTCCTATTTTTGTCCTGAAAAAGTTAATTTCAAATGGGACACCCTATGTATGTTATATTGTACACCAATTTCTTTTTATACCAATCCCAAGAATGCCATCCACTTTGTAACAAAAGAATTTCAAATTCCTGTCTTCTTCCTCAAAAAGTTAACTTCAAATAGGACACCCTATGTATATTATTTTGTACATCAATTTCTTCTTATACCAATTCCAAGAATGCCATCGACTTTGTAAAAGAAGAATTTCAAATTCCTATCTTTTTCCTCAAAAAGTTAAATGCAAGAGGACCACTCCATAAGTCTCTCCTCGTCAAGCCCCCTAATCCATCACCTGCAGCTTATAGGAAACGCGACTAATCCGAGAAAAAGTAATTAAGACCCCAAACTAGTTAGAATTCTCAGCAACCACCTCCCAACGATCCTATTTCCTCCACTTCCGCTGGATCCGTAGCTTCGGTCCAACGAGTTAGCGATGCTACCTAATCCGAATCGCCAATCCTGCGACAATTAATCCCCACTGATCACCCGTATCGATCCCTCCCCGGCTAACTTTCGTAATCCGTCATTTGCAGCTTATGAAAAACCTCGGTTAACCTTGGACGCAGTAATTAAGCTCAAAGACGATCCTCGGCTCGTCTCGTTTATCTCGTTTCCTCCGCTTCCGCTGGACCCGACGACCGAACCAGTTGCAGGCGCTGTCCGGCTTTGATCACCGACCTTTCAATTAATTATCGTTCGATTTGTGCAGTAACGTGGTAACGAAGTTTATCGACGAACAGGGGGTGAAGAAAGCGCAGGGTGAGAAGCGGAGCTGATCGATTCTCGCGATTGCAGTCTCAGTGTCCTGCACTTTGAACGTGCTGCGTCGATGAGCGAGATACAGGGGTGGAAATCTCGGCGAGTTACGAGTTCGTTGGCTAGGGTGTTCCCGTTTGTTTCCGATCATCAGCTTGATTTCATCCATGATTCGATTATCTCTGGATCATCACGCGACGAGGCTCCCGTCACGCTTGAACTGTCGATGTGCTGTCGGTTTTTAATCAGCAGGGTGGTTCGAGGTGCCGGAAGCTTTTCATCCCATCTTTCTTCATCTAGACTGACGGGATTGAAGGTGTGACCTGAAGGTGTCGCTCGGGAGAAATCTATACTAAGTCCAACGGGACGAGACACCGAACGAGACGATTGATCATCACGCACGTGACGAGTGCGTGATCAGATCAGGGTCGATTAAACAGAACCTGGACCCAACGATTACGTGGACCTTATTTAGGAATATTGGAACAGTGAGAATTCTGAACGTTCTTTCAAGAAGCTCAAGAAAATAGACCAATTGGTGCACACCACTTAACTGATCAGGCATTGATGTAAACATCGGTACTTCGTCTCTTTGGACGGAGTATAGGTCTATAGGGTCCCTTTATTATTATGGTTATTATGAAGTTTGTGGTTCCTATGGTGCCTAATAGTTGGTATCCTGATGACCGTCATGCTATGATAGGTAGCAGGTAGAAGGACGCAAGAAAAGGATGCGTTTCATCCTGGGCCTGCTAGTGGGCTCGTCAGTAAGGCTTTCTATCAGGCCCTGCCTTAGGCGGAGGATACTTAGGTGAATAATAGGCTAAGAACTTGTATTAATGGTAGTCATTCACCGAGGAATTGCAAGAAACCTCGAACCTCCGTTTTCCATCTAGCGCTGAGAATGTGAACATTGGTCGCTACAGGTCCTAGGTTAGGCGTAGAGATTGAATAGTCCCTATGAGAACTACAATTGGATGGACTAGGTTAGGAACCTGTTTGACCAAGCTCTCGAGGTTTCGCGTGTTACAAGCACTGGAAGACGAGAGTTTATAATTAGTGAATGCCTTTGGAGGTGCCGGATCGATGAAACGAATGGAAGTCGGACTGCTGAGCGACGTAGGGGTGCAGAGGTATGCAACAACGGAGCTCGATTAATCCGGATGTTCCGGTTTTCTGAATCGAACGCTTTCCACGTCGACGCTGCCTCGATTTTCATTGTATTTTCAGCGATCCCGACAAGAAACAAGCAATTACCCTCGGTTGGAATTCCCGGCAGGAAAATAAATCAGCCATAACGCTTAATAGAATTCAGCTCTGATGCCGCTACATCCTTCCCCCGACCGATTCTCATCGATATTAATTTTTTTATTCCGTTTCTCCGTGGTATTTATTCGAATCGAGTTCGGGATAGCTTTGTCATAGCTGGAGGACCGTGACTGAAGTGTTGACACGGAAAATTTGCAAGAATTTCAGGGTTGACGTAGCTCGGAGAACTGACCGACAGCTGAATTCCCAAAGTTCGATAGGTTTCGATAGTTCAGTTTGAAAATTTCGATGCTCGGCTTTCGAAATCCAAAGCCACGTCTAACTTTTCCATACTTTCCAGGCTTTGACCCGAGAAGTTTGGTCTGCTCTTTAATTCGCAAGCTTAAAAGCTGTTTAAACTATTCGATTATGCGAGCTTCGATATAGGAACCGAGGCAGGAACTTGTCCATCGATTTGTCCAATTAGAACTCCATTTTTCTCCGTTTTCTTGAGAGGATTATTTGATCGTGTATATTTTATGTTATTGGAAAAATTCACGAGAAGATTAAATGATATAGGGTGGTGTAATATTGCAATTTCGAGTAATTATTTGTTTCTTCCTATGACCTTATATCTTTATTTTTATTATAAGATATTTATCTTAAGATTAAAATGGTAAAATAAATAGATAAAAATAAAGATATTTTTGTTTTACAGCCTACAACATATGGGGCGACGTTGCCCCACGAAAATGTCGGCCACCGAAAATCGGCGATATTCCAAAGTGAGTACTCAAATTTTTACGAGAAGAAATATAGTAAAATATTTAATTAAAATAGTTGAATATTTAACGATGGACCATTTTAATAGTACGTTACTATTTAGCCCGTAAAATGGTGTACAATATTTTTGGAAACTTGTAAAAGTAAGTACGCGTAAAAAGTAATGGATTTCAAACGAATATTTTCTCAGAAAGAGGAAAACGAAAAGATGAAATTACGTGTCGATTTCCAGTTTTTCTAGATAAAAATCGGCCTGTCTGCAAGTGGTTCGAACGAATCGAAGTCCGATAAATACGAAAAACGAGAAGCGCGTTAGGTGGATATCTGATTTCTCTCTCATACGCGGACTGGGGACGTATTTTTCGCTTAACGAGGATTATCAGCGACCGTGATCTCTGAAAAACTCCCTACATATTACCGTGTGTCTTTAGAAGTTCTAGAAATTCTTCGAGATCGAAATCGAATGTCAATTTACAGCTCCCAAAGTGAAATATTGCATATATAACACTCGAATATTAAATTACATAGTATAACAAACTATATATGTACAATAGAGCATGTACGAGTTATAAAATACAATTAAATTAGGTTATTGTTACAATAGAATAATTTTTGCGATACAAGTTTTCGGATATTTATTAACTTTTAATTAATCGAGTTTTCAAATTATTATTATTATTACGGAATATTAATGAATAGTACTAGAATTTAATTGCAAGAATGACGATATGTTGTTTTCAAGCGAGTAAGTATCTTCTTTTATGCCCCGAACTTCTCCGAAGCCACATAAAGGCAGGCAACCGTGTACCGATGCAAGGCGGGTTGCCGTCGTCAAGCGCCTAACTTCTCCATCTTTAAAACTCCATAACTAACAAACGGTACAAGATCGGACACATGTTTATGGGACAAAAACTGTTCCTTCTATTATCCCCTTTCATCTAATACCAAATTATTAATACGTTACAAGTCGCAGTTTTATCGAACAAAAATTCCATCCTATTCTTCCTCGATTTAATCTCGCGGCCGGGAAAAGAAATAAAATAGAATGGAGAAATAATCAAGCAATAAATATATCACGCTGAAAGCTCCAAAGCTCTGCTTTATCCGTAAATATTCTTTCATCGCTCCTCGTTCTCGGGGTGCAAACGATTCATCAAAGCAGGACTTTAACCGACTGCAATTTGTCGAAAGTCACTCGGTTGGTGGAAAACTTCCTCCACACTCAGCAGCGTGCCACGCAAACCAATTCGCACACCTGAACACACACGCGAGCGTTAATCGGATCACAGTCAGAAATGAACGTTCCGGCGATAAATTTCGCTTCGATTAGCGTCGACCTTCGAACGACGACCAGAAAAAAAAGGCACGGAGAGGCAAGGAGCCACACGGCCTAATCTCCCATAATGCATCTCGACATGCAAATAGATATTTTTAACCTTGTCTCGAAGGCGATCGATAGCCACGAAAGCGGCACGGACCTCGTCTAAATAATTGCTCCACCCCGACGTCAGCCGCAGACACGCTTCTGTTCTTTGGTTGCATCAAGGATTCCGATGTGTTTTTTCCCCCTCCCTGCGGCGACCAACGAATCCATCAAGTTGCCCATCAAGGACGACGAGCTGGATGAAAGCTTCGTAGGTGGCTGCTTGCTTTTTTCGTCGCCGCTCCCTCGACCGACCCTTCAAACTTTCCGTCAGCCTCGTTCGGCTACCAGCGTCACTGTAAATGGCTTTTATACCCATCACGATCTATCCTCTCGTGGAAAAGGCGTAGCCGTTGCACCCCTGTGAAAGTGTTCAAAAATCATCGACCAATTGCTGTCGAGGGAACTTGCGATTTACTATAGTTCCTTGTGCCTAGATAGTTCCTAGATTTTTTTATCGAACGATTATTCGATAGATATGAGACGTAGAATTCTTTTTTAAATTTGGTGTCAAAGAACTTGATCCATATTTAGACTTCTATATTCGAAATAAACTCCTGTCTTTTATTTTGCCGAATTCATCGACGTGATAAATGAAGGGATCATGTAATGGTAAACGTAGTAGCATGGAATTAGAATGAAAGCTGGTATTAAATTGCGAACAAAAGCAGCGGATGCGATGCTTGAATTTAAAATTCACTTGACTTCGAAATGTGAGATATGCTCTCTGATCCTCGAGGAGGCATGAGTCATAGACCTACCGCCTTTACGACTTTATTGCCTAGGTCATCGCTTACCACTGTCAGCCTACACCCCCTATCGTAAATCCAACCACCATGCACTCCACTTTCCCAGAAACATAAATTTGACAAGTCTTGCGAGCGTAGAAAATAGACCCACTTGACGGAAAACTGGCACACCTCAAACTGACAGCTTTAATCATAACTCCCTCGCGAGTAAGTACTAATTTACACGAACTAAGTTAATTTCATTTAGTTAAGTTAAGTTTAGTTAAGTTCACTTTACGAGTTTTAATTTATTAAAACCTAAAATTCCAAATATCAGCATAAAATACACATACACGGTCTCGTCGTTTTCATAATCATCGTCAACGTGTGCAGACAATATAAGCTGGACGAAATTGGGACAAGAAAGGGTAAATTATTACTCCACGGTCACTTCCGTCAGCAATGAGGCGTGAAACACACGGCGAATGTGGAAAGGACCGATAATTCGTTATCTCGCGATGCATCGCGTAATAGCGGCGCAATCGCTTACCAGCGCTGCCCCCTATGCAGGTGAGCATCTGAACCGTGAATTACGAAACGCTGCGGGCGAAAGTGGCGCCGCGCCGTGGCGCGTTGAATGATCGTCCTGCGAACGCGATGCATCACGGGCGGAATTCCATGCGCGGGGTCCCCCGCGGCGGTCCACGACGGGTAGAACGCTACGGAATTTCGTTTGGTGGTACAACTAGGTGAATTACCGCGCCGCGATGACAAATGGCGCCGCGCAGCGCACGCGACGAGGATCTTACGCGCAGGCGCGTCAGAAATTTGTCGAACTCTGCCCTCGGGTGTACGCTACACGCGCTAGAAGGTAATATCCCATGCCTGGGATGTGCTTATGGGGTTTTATATCGATTTACACTTGTTTCGAGGAATGATCTACTATGTATTTTCAGAGGATAATGTTTTTTTGAGAGAGAGATTTTGTGTTTCGATTTGGAAACGTAGTATTGGTATATAGTAATTGGCGAATTTGAATTTTTATCAGTTTTTGAGACAGGGATTTTTAGATGTTTTGTTATATTAGAAATTGGAGGTTGTCAATCTTTTCTTGGTGCATACTAGTGATCACTATGGAATCAAGTCAAAATTTTGGTAGCTCATGTACTAGCGAACTTCATTATACCACTATTATAGTATACCATTCTGTATTCAGCAATTGTTTATATAGATGGATAACACTACTATATTCACAGTGGAAAAATTGAAATAAAATAAAAACTAGTCAAGTATAAATATAATTATAGATGACTAATAGAACTACTAATAAGTATCAGAAATATTAAGGAAGAACAGTTAGGAAACATAGAGACGAATTAATTTCCCTAGAATCAAGCGTTTGATCGGTTATACGCAGTCTCGAATCAGCAGGCCGATCAAGGTCACCCCCCACCAGCACGCTCGATAGGAGACCGCACGGAATCGGAGGGAGAAATTTATTCTTTATCGCACACGCGGATTAAAACGAAGAGAGTTATTTATATCGGATGAACAGAGTCATTTTTTTCGTTTGACCCGGTTTTCATCATTGCTTTCGTTAGCTAAGCGGCCAAACGCGTACGTCGCTCGTGTATTCCATTTCTGCCTCAAGGATTTTCCTTCTTGCTTGTCCGGTCGTGCGGTGCAGCCTCGACAGAGATAGCATCACGTTGGCGAGTTATGCGATACACGGTTATCGAAGTTAGCCCGGAGTCGATGGTTTTAATCACGGAACGAACACAAACCAGCCGAAGTGAACAAATGGATGAGAGAATGGGATCTCTCTCTCTCTCTCTCTCTCTCTCTCTCTCTCTCTCTCTTTCTCTGACTTCGCTCCTTTCCCCCTTTATTCGAGCAGTTCGCTATTGCCGTTTTTAACTCGTTTGTTCCGCATTCCTCGTCCCATAGATTCTAGGGTTTTAGATTGCTAGTTTCCCCTAGATTTATCGCTCTCTAGATGTTCGAATTATTGGACTTCCAGATAGAGAAATTGCCACACATTTTTATTTCTTGCAACCGCATATTTTCAACAATCTTTAAAACAAAATGTCCGAAACATTTTAACCCCCATGGTTGTTCTAGTACTAAATAAGCACGAATAATAAAAGGAATGTGTAAGAAACAATATAAATCCCCTACCCCTACTTTTACATTTGAAACAATTTCCCGTCCATTTATTTCCAGATTCTTAAGCTACCCTATTCTCGTATACCTTCGTCGTACATCTATATCCCTGTCTTCCTATCTTTTCAATTCTACCATTACCTAACCCCACGCAACCTGTATATCTATTTAGCTACCTTCCTGAACCGCCCCATTCTTTTCCCTTTCTCTCAACCCAAACCTCCGTCAACGTCCGCTTCGTCGAGCCTGCATTGGCTCTCGCGGTGCTTCCGGCTCGCTGGACCACGTTAAAGGCAGCTTTTCACCGACGTGCTCGTTCATACGCGAGGTAATCCTGTTCGAGTTACGCTCGATACATCGCTCGGCTGTCTCCTTCCCTCGTTCTCTCTTATTCTTGCTTCGCGACTTGTCACATCCAGCTTGTCTTCCTAGATGAACGATCGATCCAGGCCAATCGATAGGTTTGACTAGCGGGATCGAGTTCCATGTTGGCGTAGAACTCCTGGCCTATAGGCTCAGGCTTTAACACTGCAACTACCAAATGGGTCAAAATCACTCGCTTTTCAATTCTGCAATTGCAGAAAATACGATTTGTATTGAAGTAACATGGCAATTACGTATCCTCCTTGGTTTTCATCGTGTCATTTTAATTATCAAGGATTATATTTAATTTTACGTTGCATACGTT